TAGGGAAACAATGTGTGTAGTAACACCAATCCTGTTTATTAAAATTGATTGTGCTTAGACTGCTGTTTTCTTAGCTGTCGTGCATATTCTGCTACCATTCTACAAATGCAGTGTTAACCCTGTGTGTTTGCGGCGTGGGGTTTTTTGTTTAGTTTTGGTTTTTTCTCTTATGCTAAATATTCTCAGTAATAGATGAGACTGCGTCTTTGTCAAAGTCTACACTCGGATGAAATCTTGTGTTTTATAAAAAAAAAATCTTGACCTTTGTTACCAGCTTCTATTGTAATGGTCCATAATTTTGCTGCTCTTTACAATATTTTAGTCTTATGCGAGTGTCTTGGTTTATACTGATATTGTTCATTAATTTGACAACTTAATGATACTTTCCTTCTTTGTAATATAATCTCCCACAGAAGAAGTGAGGTGTGACATCAGAAATATGAACAGAAGGTTATATGAACATTATGATTTTTAAAGATATTGAGGAAGTCACTTAAAAATATAAAGAAGGTACTTTAATAAGGGAAATGTGTATAATTCCAGTGATCCATTAAGTAGGATCCAGCTGGCAATCTTAGTGTATTGCCTTCACTGCTCTAACACAGCAGGTCAGATGTGACAAAATTAGTGCACATGGTGGTCCCCTGACCCAATTGATATATAGTGTGCAAAGAAAGAAAAAAAGGAAGTAGTTTTAACATGTGGTGTGGAATGGTAAACAGGGGGTATTGAGTTTCTGACATGAGCCATTCTGGCAGAGTCGGATTGCTGTTACCATACGTGTGTACGCACCGGGGATGGGAAGGGATGAATCCAAACCTTCTCAGAGGTGGGAGTTGTTGGAGGTGGCTGGATCCCACATTCTTGGTCTGGCGCGTGACAGCACATCTCTGTGCTGCTGAACACTGAATCTTTTCCGCAAGTGTTTGCTGGTTCACTGGGTAACTCCTGCACAGCCTGAACTGTATCCATGTGACTTTCTGTTTATCACATTTAGTTGTATGCTTGGAGAAGTTGTCATTTTAATTTTCTAAAACTCTTATTTTAGTGGCTATAGGTCATATTCTGCATAATGCCTTTTACGCAGAGATCCATCTATTGAGTATGTACCTTCCTCTACCACATGCCTCTTCATTGAGCCTATGAAACCTGGAAAAAGAAAATAATGCCTATATGAAAAACTTAACTTTATTTACTGGAAAGTTGATTTTTATTAATCCAGTAAATATTAATACAACAGAACACTTGTATGATTTTATTTGACCATATTAAGCAGACTTCTACAATTTGTATTTGTCTGGAGTTACCAGCAACAATAACTGTATCTTCAAGTATGCTTTTAATCACTCATCATTACTTAGTAATGAAGTCAGCATATCATAGTTAAGATGTTAACGATCTGTATTAAGAGGGAATTTCCTACAGCTGCACTGAAAAATTTTTACTTACAATTTTGAAGTTACTAATCCTTTTTTTTTTTTTTTTTTTCCTTCTCTAGTGTTGAGCTGTGTAAAGAGATGGTGGATGGGCTGAGAATAACGTTTGACTTCACACTTCCATTAATTTTGCTCTACCCTTATGAACAAGCTCAGTTTAAGAAGGTGACTTCTTCAAAGTTTTTTCTTCCCATCAAAGAAAACTCAGCGAATACTAACAGGTATGTTGGGTGAACAGAGTCTAATACTGCTTATCACTGAAGAAAATGCAATAAAATGTAGTTATGTGTTCAGAATAAGATATCTCACAGACCTTGACTTAAAAATTCTCTTGGTAAAATGTTGAACTTTTCTGTGAATTTCTTGCCTAAGTTCTGAATTCGGGTGCCAAGTTTCTGTCTGGTTAACTTCAAAAGGAGTTTGTATTGATTGGTGTGGAGTTATGCTACAGCTTTGTGGGGAAAAAGAATTACATCGAAATTTAAATTTGTGTTCATTAGCTTCTAAATTTGAAAAGAAATATGCTTCTGGGAAATAGCATTTAAAAGAAGGTCTCATCACTGGGATAGCTGTGAGGAGAGCTTCTACTTTGCGTAAGTGTTTAACATGATCTGTGAAACTAGGAGGAGCTGTTTTGGGGGAAGAGCCCTCATCGCTTCGCTCCCGTAAGGCTGCCTTCGTTTCCTAGGAACCAGGAGGAGCTGTCGCCCAGCCCCCCGCTGCT